TACACCCATCTCTTGCACACACTTATACATACCATACACATAGAGACATGCCTGGAACACATACACTTATCATGTGCACACTTATACACACCACACAGATAGAGACATGCCTGTAATACATACACCCATCGTGCACACACTTATGCACAACATGCACATAGAGACACGCCTGGAACACATACCCCCATGCACACACTTATATAAGCAATGGTATAAAAATACAGATATTCGTTAGTAGATAGATGTGCTTATACTTAAATTAATAAGTTTTTGTCAATAATTGTCTAAAATAAATCCATATCATAAAAGAGATATATCAATAAAATTCCAACATTGACATATTCAATTTTTTTCTTACTAGGCCTTAAGGGATTCTTTCACAAGAGTAATTAATAAAAACCATCAGGTTCCTCAAAAATAACAACAACAACAAAAACAGACCTATCATGTGATCCAGCTCCAAAGCTCATGATGTTTAGTCAAAGGATTCCAACTCAACACATCAGGGATACTTGCACATACATCAGTGTTCACTGAAGCACAGTTCAAGGTAACAAGTTAGGGACTCTACATATGGGTTTACCAAGAGATAAATGGATAAAGGAAATTATACATACGAGCAAAGTCATGTCATTTGCAGAAACACGGGTAGAACTGGGAATAGCCAAGCATCATGTTTTCTTTCATTTTTGAGTCCTAGGCTTTATGTAGACACATAAAGTCACACACACACACACACACACACACACACACACACACACACACACACGAAAATAGAAACAAAACTGTCGAAAAGAGCAAAGAAGACAAATCTAAGGGGTAAGGAAGGAAATGGAATTTGCCCAAAGCATATTATGCACATATATGTATTATGCACATACATGAAAATGGTCTTATTTAACCTGGAATAACCAAACAAGGAGCATAACTTCTTATAAAGCTTAAAAAACTGTTTAGATTGGGCCACACTGACCAATGATCTTGATGTGTTTTTAATGATACACTTCTTTGGTTTATTTATACAAAGGAATTCCTAGGAAAGCCACTAGAGGGCTTTCATTATAAATCTTTCCTTGGAACACCCCTGACACTCTCAGATTTTCTGTCTTTAATTTTTGATTTCTTGGCAAACCTAAACAGATCTGCTTAGTCATTACTTTCTACAGAAGCTTACCCACTACTGACACCAGATACCTCTGATGCCTTCAACAACTAAACCGCTAACCATATGATAAGAGGAATTTTTCATGTTGACGAAGGCACTTTTACATTTCATTAGAAATGCACAGTGGGCTTCCAGAAGGTTCCTAATCTTCAGAACAACCCACATATAGTTTACAAATGGGAGGGGTTGCTGTGTGATTCATCTTCGCCAGATGAAAGGGAAGCATTCCATGCGCAAGGAGTTCCCTGTCTAGTACTTTACCACATAGATGCCTGATGGTATTGCTGTTCTAAACAATTAGCTGTATTCATTTGTGTGTATTTAACATGTTTACAACACACAGCTCAACTCCATTTTCTTCTCCAAGTCATGTCTAACTGGGATCTTCTCTCATTTAATTTGTTTTCTTTATAACAGCCAGGAGTACTAAAAGGTGATGAATAAGCCTGGTGGTGGTGGCCTGTGCCTTTAATCCCAAGGCTCAGGAGGCAGAGGCAGGAAGATCTCTGAGTTCAAGGCCAGCCTGGTCTACAGAGTGAGTTCCAAGACAGCCAGAGCTGTACAGAGGAACCATGACTAGAAACAAACAAACAAGTCAACAAGATGGATATTATCATATCCATCCCATGCTTAAAATTTTTACAATATTTCTCCTCGAGTTTACATAATTTTAAACTTTTCATCTCTTAAATATTACTAAAAGAGCAAAGCATTATCTGGCTTCTACTTACCCGAGCCATATGAACTCATACTATTGTTTGTCTTACTACTTGACCACTAGACTATATGAAGATCTTTCCTAGATTTTGGTTGCCATGGTTTCATTTGTACCTGAAAAGCTCTCCTATCTCCATATATGGCTATTTTAACTTAAAATTTAATAGTTACTTTGGGTAGCCTTGTCTCCTTTGGCATATTATCTTATCTGTTTTCCCTCAATATCTTACATTCATTCTTAGTTTTCCCAGTTTATATTATTGATGTTTTCTTTATCTGACTAAAATTTTCCTGAGACCAAGAGATACCTCTTTGTGAATCCCTCTCTCTCTGTTATATCATAGGAAATATTTAATAAGCATTTGTTAAATCACTGAAGGGTCAAGTTGCTATGTAGCAAGATAGCCATATGTTAAATACACTTTGTTGAATACATCTAACTGACTAGGATATTGATGCTTATTGTCAGACAACTCTCTGGACAAAGAGAACCAGAGAGGGAACCGTATGCACATGGAATGGTGGAGTGTTTCCAGTTTTCTGGAGTGTTTTGCCTCTTCTGGCTAAGAAATCACACAGCCACCCTACCTCTCCATTAAACTCATGGCTCAAGTTCTATCCCAGAACCAATGTCATTTTGCCTTGAAAACACCATTAAATAAGCTGACTTCAGAGTCGTCTTTTCTATAAGAACTTTTGAGGAAAGAGACTGATTTATCTTTATCCTTTATGTTACATTCGAGTTTTCATGATACAAATTAGTCACGGTGGAAGCGTCTTTCAGGAAGGCTGTCATTCTAAAATGAAGAATTGCGGCATACTGAACTAAAGTGAAGAAGGCAGCATCTCTACAGATTCGGTATATAGGGTCGAATTATCTGTTACTCTAATTCTAGACTTCATGAAATTCAGACACTGGGAAAGGCATCTGGACCTCAAATAATGACTTTCTTTCCTTGTTAATCGACAGGCGTTGCAGAGAGGCACAAATCCCTATCAGACCTGTACGGAAAGATCCCAGTACAAAAAGTACGACTGACTCAGCCCACCCCCTAGTCGGCTCCATACAGCCAGCTTTCTGGACAGGAAGTGGTTCACAGGATTTCCTTGGCACAGGAGATCATCTCCATATACTGCGCATGTTCCCTGGGCTACTTCCCGCCTACCAGGTTAATTAGCCTTCACCGCTTGCTTCCCTCCTCCGGGTCACCAGGCTTTTGTGTCCCATTAGTCTCAGAGAAGAAAATGGTTCAGCATGAAGAAAAAGAGCTGGAGGGGGTCTAATGTCAGAATAAAGATCCAACAGACGTGTTCCTGGGAAAATGAACACGATCGGGGCATCGGCTTCCTGCAGCCTCTAAGTGTTTTGCTGAGCAGCTGGAGGTCATCTACCGACTCAGAGCAGGAAGCCAGGAAAAGAATGGCAATATTTTCCTGAGGGCTTAAATTAGCCTCTGCTTAGGAAACCGGTGAATAATTGCTTTTAGCTGACTTGTATAAATAGACACATATTATTTATATAGACAATATATATTTTTAATAGAATTAAATCAATGTTCCATTTGTTTGGCTTTAAAAGGCAAAGTCCTACTGTGGTTTTAGTAAATGGATAGGGTAGACCTCTATTCATACTTGAGTTCTAACTCACCTGCACTTAAGTCATGAGGAGCCTCTAAGTTATTTTCATTACATTGCTAAAATCCTGCTACCATATTTAGTAAAAAATAAAAATACCTCAAATAACTTGCATGCATAGCTAATATTTCCTATATTTGCACCAGGATTTATTCTAAATATGTGAACTATCTCAATGAATCATCATAACGTCTCCAAGAACAGGTCTTGCTTTTATTTATGTTCTGTAGGTGAGAAAATCAAGGCCAAGGAATTGAAATCTTTCTATCCCAAGTCAAACAACTTGTGCAGGTAGAGAGGGCTTCAACCTACATGCTCTGGTCTTTGGTCTGTGCTTCTTCCTACTATGTGCAAGTTTTTTTAGAAAATGTTTCCTTTCATTAATGACATAGATTTAATGAAGGTAATCACACCAGTAAATGGCTGAACTAGGCTCTTGATGAGTTTGCCTGGTTCTTGTGTCCAAGATGGCAACTACCACTTAATACTGTTCCCCAGAGAAGATCACATGCTTATTTTTTCAATCGCATACTTAGCATTAGATATTAAATACTTTATTAAGAGTCTAATGATTACCCAACCATAATCTAAAATATTATTTTAATTGTGTTAAGATAATTATTAAAAATTTCTGAAGCATCTGAAATACTATTCAAGTCGTGTTAATGTCAGTGTTCTAAATGAAATTCATATAACAATTCAATCTCAGCGCTTACCAGCTTCTTGGTGCAAGCACAAGAATACCTAAACATCTATAAACATTAAAAAAAAAAAACAAGCTTAACTTTGTTTGTTCCAAGCTAAGAGCAATACAACACATATTGGCTACAATACATAATACAAAATCATAAGAAATTGCATTATGAAATATAACCGAGGCGCAGTAAAGAAGGTTGTTTTAAGATTTAGTTTTTTTTTTACATGTTTGTGTCTGTGTGAGTGAATGGCATATGTGTGCAGGTATGCACGGAGGCCAGAAGAGGGTGTGAGAACCCTTGGAGCCAGAGAAATCTGTGCTTGTGAGCAGTCTGATAAGGGTTCTGGGAACTGAACTCAGCAAGCTCTGAACTATTGAGCAATCTCTCCAGTCCCAGTAAAGAGTATCTCTGTTACTTATATTAATATCTGGTTATGTGAAAAAAATCTGCCAGGTACATCTGAAATATTAGAAAATATTAATATGCTGGCCAAGTTATAACAAGCCTGTCAATTAAAACTTCATAGAAAATATTAAGTGGTGGTTATTATTAGTTATGGTATTTCCTACATAAATAAATGCTCTTCTTACATGAGTTTGTGTGTAGAGTTCTGGTATCTTCAACCATCTGTAAAAACCACTATCACAGAGTGTCAAGTGTGCTGGGTAAGCAATGCAGGTCAGAGATTTAAAGGTCATGGAGTAAATAGGTGGGTTATGGAGTAAATTTTAGACAAACAGCTTTGACATTTGTGCCTCAGTATGAGTCTTTTACAGTTTTATTACCTTTCGGGCCCTTGAAAAGCTTGATTTCCACGACAGTCTCCAAAATGGGTCGCCTTCTCCGCACATACAGCCGCACAATCGAGCCCGCTTCTTTGAGGGCCTCCACTGCTTTACTGTGGGAAACCTCTGACACGTCAACCTCATTCACCCGCAAGATACAATCATTGACCCTGCAAGGGAGGAAGAGGCAAGGTTGAGCAGGAGCTGGGAACCTGGAGTGAATTCACCATCGCTATCTAATTTTAACAAGGGGGCAAGAGTGTGAGAGATTTGAAAATGTTCGAATTTGTAAGGTCTCTTACCTACAGTACAAGAAATCAAGTCAAGATCAAGCTCCTTGTCGGTGTAGTGTTCCAGACAAGGATCACAAAGCTAGCCAGTTTCCCTCTTAAGACTCGACTACAGGGGTGTGACTTGAACTGAGAGGCATATGACATAGTTAGAAGGAAATGTGTCAATGACATTTTTTTTTCCTGTCTTAATTGGCTAGACTGACAGTTATGGTCTAAAGACTTCTCAGAAGTTATTGTGGCATACGATATAGACACAAAAGATGTGATTTTATCATTTAACTTTGTAAAATTCTTAACTCACTAGATATAAAAGTGTTATGCAAGGATTGTAGAAACTCTCAAAAATATAACTATGTAGGAAGGAAAAAACATATAAAACAGCCATCTCAATGTGTTTAGCTTGTTGAATTATCTTTAAATATATTTTCCCAGGAATTCATCTTGCAATATTATAAATATTGAAGCTTAGGCTTAATGAAGCTTGATGAGATCCTCAGATAATCCTGTCTAAGATGTTTCCTTAAAAAGCTAAGAATTATGTAATGCTTTGTTTCTGTCCTCACACAGGAAGGCATGATTTGACTTCCTTTCCAGTTAGTTTATTTTTATGATAATGATTAGTGATAACTTGAATATTGTCTAACAGCATGGGTTTCTGGTTAGAAAGATTTCTTCGCTCTGCCCAATCATCTTAAGGTTCCCCATCTCGGGCTACTTTGTTGGTCCAAGTCAAAAGTGAGTAACTGTTCTTACCTGACCCCTTCTTTCCCCCATTACTATACCTTCAGATAAATTTACAGAGCGAATCCAGTGATAATCCAGGTTTGCTCATATTCACTGCTACCACCTGGTTGAAGTAAGCGCCACATCTTCCCTGGATGACATCCAAAACCTCCAGACTAACATTCTTGGATCCCCTGTGTTACCTTTGGAGCCCTTCTTTTCAAAGTGACCATGGAAAAGTGAATGTGGTTGGTCCCTTTCTCTACTTCCATTCCCTTCTTCCCCCATCCAATGTCTGGTTTTGTCTAAGAGATATATTATTGGGCAAATATTTGTTGAATATGAAAAAAACAATTCAGTTGTTAAAGTCTCATCTTCTGCTTTTGTATGTATAGGCAATTTTCTCAATCTCTCTAAACCTCCACATTACTTACTTTTACAACAGTAACATCTGCTATAAATTTTTTAGGAAGCAATATACTAGACAATATATAATAATCCTTTCTGTAAATCCTAGCATATAATAAACATATTTATGGTGTAGTATGTATTGATGTATAATATTCCTAATAATGTATTTGTTTTATAGCTTTGTAGAATAAGACTGATGTCCATTGTGGAAATTAGTATAATATGTAATAAGTAGTTACACCCTTCTACTGGAAGACTAGGCAGAGACTAGATGTGTTCTAAAGTCTATGTGTCTTATGTACCTATGTATCCTATCTATCTGCCTGTTTATCAATCATCTACCTTTTTATCTATATCAATCATCTATCTGTCTATCTATCTATCTATCTATCTATCTATCTATCTATCTATCATCTAGCTATCTAGCTATCTAGCTATCATCTATCTAATCTATTTATTTATATAGATCATCTATCTATCATCTATCTATCTATCCATCTATCTATCTATCTATCTACCCATCTATCATCTATCTATCTATCTATCTATCTATCTATCTATCTATCTATCACCTATCTATTATCTATTTATTTACCCATCTATCATCACCATCATCCCCATAATCATCATCGTCATCTATTCTCTACCTACTTACTTACCCACCTATTTGTATTTATTTACTTTGCAGTGCTGGATGGCTAAGCCTAGCACTTCAGGCATACTTGGCAAGTACTCTAGTACTGAAATATACCTGGATCCTTCAAGCCTTCTTATTAAAAAACATATCTAGTGTAATGCACCATTTTATGTACATTATGCCTACCAATTAAAAATACAAGTTTATCATGGGACTATTATATAAAAGCATGGAGAGGATTTTAGGTGTATGATATCCAAATTCTTTTTAAGTCTGTTTAAGAAGCTGTTATTTCAACCCTTTATGAGAACCCACAGCAGCCTTAAAATCCTGCAACGGAAGATTTCACTAAGATGTAGTGATGTTATTTCGTCAGAACAGATGGAATGGCTTTAATAGGTTTACACATACATTTCCTCCCCAACAAAACAAAACAAAAAATACCCGGAAAGCTACCAATTAAAATAGTTTTGAGAATGTAGGCATGCATTAGGGATGCCAGCCACCCTGGAGCAGCTGGTCCTTATTTTGCTATCTCGTGATAATGAAAGAGCACAGTTTACCATTACTTCACGTGCAGAATACTAATCATATCTTGACCACTATTTTTTCATCGAAGGGAGCTGTAGTAAAAAAGGAAGGCTACATCTATTCTAACTCTACTAATTATTTCTTTTTGTGTACTTTGACATCTTTATCAGTTACAAGTATAAACAAAATACAACCTAACTCACATGGTTGTTTCTGAATATATAGGTGAGGTAGGCAATTTTAACATAGTACATAGAACGGAAGATTAACGACAATGGGTCTACATAGGAAGACACCCATCGCTCTGCATTTCATATGCCCATAAGGAAAGAGGAAGCATAGCCATGGTCGGCGTGAGGAGTCAGCAGACAGCTAACAGGTGTAGATACATGTACCACTGGAGGCATGAACATTTCTGATAAATAGACAAGACATGCCCAGAGTGATTTGTTTAAAAGGGCATATGGTAGAAATAGAAACGTGTCGTTGGAGCATCAACTGTGTGCTCTATCAGTCTGGTCTCTTCGCTCATCTTTCTCATTTCAGTTCATGAACTATTGATCTCCACTTGAAAAATAGAGAGATATCAACGGTAAGGTCACTGACGGTTGGTGAGGACAGGGGCATGATGGCCCACTGGCTTTACCTTGTTCTTTGCTAATACAAAGAATTGAGAGTTGTGGGTTTTACATTAAAATAAAAACAGATGAGAAATGCACATGGAAGTTCTTAAAAGGAGGTAATGTCAAGCTAGGGAACTAGGACATCCAACTTCCCTTCTGCCCAGTTGCTTGAAATAGAATCTGGCCAGAGGGCCACAGCTATTTAAAATTAATTTGTGTACTCTAACTGCGGATAACCTCGATGAGTAAAGTCACCCCTTCATTTTAAGGCACCTCAAATTACCTTCAAGCTCAAGCAATGCATCATTCCATCCAAATGCCCGTCCTCTACGGTATTTCTGAGCCCCTGTCTAAGAAAGCTATTTGCATACAGACTTCCTCTTCAATCTACTACTGTACCTGACAGTTCCACTCAGTGTCTGCTGTTTCAGATATGCCTGTAGTTTTGTCTGCAGCAATTTCATCTTGCAGAATGGAATTGGCCACCCAGTTAAAAAAATGGTTTCAATAGTTCCCTGGAATTTCTTCTTGCAATTCTCATGTATGTCCTTCAGTCAAATGTATTAGGAACCAAAGTCCATTTAATCACTAACACCTGCCTGCAGAAGCACACCTAATCTTCTTATCTATCAATGGAGTAACATCTCACATGATGAGGCATCACTCCAAACTAATAGTCAAGAAATTACTGGCTCTCTCTGTTGGGATATTTTTTTAAAAAAAGATTTATTTATTTATTTCTATGTGCTCTGTTGTTTTGCCTGCATGTATGTGTTTGTGTGTGAGGGTGCCAGATGCCCTTGAAGTAGTGTTCATACAGTTTTTAGTGGCCATGTTGGTACTGGGTCTTCTAGTAGAGTAGCTAGTTCTCTTAACCACTAAGCCATATCTCCAGGCCCAAGAATATATTTTAAAATAATGTGCAAAATACACTTCCCCCATAGGTATCAACATATGATTTATTGTTAAAATAGGATGCTTTGTGATTTTATATATTATTAATTTAATATGCATACCAATTCATAATACATACTAAAAGTTGCAAATATTGCTGTTTACTATGTGGGAAATATTAGAAAGAAAGAAAATGGCAAAGTTGTAGTTCTTGTTCTTAAGTAAGGCAATTATGAAAGTTTTAAAAGATATCTTTTATGTTCCTCCCTATCATATGCTTTATGTTCCCATCTATGATAGGCATATAATGTTTCAGATAACCTAAGAACAAAGTATTGGTGTGGGAAGTCCTTTGTATATGTGTTGCTTTTATTGGTTAATGAATAAAGTAACTGCTTTCGGCCAATGGCTTAACATGATATAGCCAGGCTGGAAAAGATATATACCGAGAGTATGCAGAGTCAGGAAGATGCCATGGAGCTGACAAAGGAAAAAGATGTGAGCGGCCAGCTGGAACCTTGTTGGTAGGCTATGAGCCTCGTGGTAAAATATAATAGAAATGGCTTAACCAAAGATATAAGATCTAACTAGCAATATGCTTAAGTGATTGGCCAAGCAGTGATTTAAATAATATAGTTTCTCTGTTATTACTTTAGGAGTATGGGTGGCCGGGAAACAACTCCTCTCAATTCTGAAACTTAGGAGCTGTTTAAGGAATTCATTCAACATCTTAAAGGTGAAATATCTATATCTGAAAATGGGGATAATAAGTTTCCCGTATGGCTGAAGAGAGATAATGCAATAGAGATAATTATCATTGTGCCTGATAAAAGGTAAACATCAAGAAATGTTAGTTATTGTTATGAAAAAAGTGAGAAACATTTGCATAAGAGGCACAAGAAGAAAACATAACAGATAAACATAATATGGGGGAGAAAGGAAGAAAATGAAAATCTAGATGTGAAAAATAATCATTGTTTTATTTAAGAAATGGAAGAAAGAATGTTCTGGAGGACATTTTCAGAAACAGAATTTAAAAGCAATTCTGTGGGTAAATG